TAAAGCCCAGATGAGGGGGGTCAATGTGGCGGGTGGTGGGGAGTGGGGGATGAGGTGTGGTGGAGACTTGATATTGTGCATCACATTACGTCTTTCGTTGTGACGAGCATTTTCTCACAGTGTGGTGCTATTGCAATAACACTTCAAGAAACAGTCTTTATTTAAACGCCAGAAAGCACACACACACACACACACTTGTATCCTGCCTGGCTCCGGTCGCTCTGCTCGTACGCCACACTTTTCATTCTTTCTCATTTCTCATTCATTCATTTCTCAGTCCTCATACACACACACACACACACACACACACGTTACCCACTGAACTGTTGCCCTTTGCATCAGAGCAGTGTGGACAAGTGTGAGATGTATCTTTCCCTAATCAACGCGATCCGTACTCGAGTTGTTAGCTACAGTAGCAGAGCGTAAACAGGAAGAGAAACGGAAACTCGACCAGGACAATGTGGTAGTCGCTGGAGTTAGTATTGGCACCACCAGCTGGACTGAACGTTGTACTACAGCAGTTACTCTGGCACGTTTGTGAAAACATGTTCATGTGACCGCTGGCCGTTTTCACACCCCTGTGGCGACGATCCTGGCCACTTGGCCGAGTTCGTTTGTAAAAACCTATTTGACCGTGCCCTTATTTTCACTTGTCTGTCTGCAAAAGCTGAACTAAAGATGTAACAGAAGCCAGACCACATGAAATTTGGTGATAGAACCGAGAGAGAGGAACAAGTTAGATGCATTATATTTCATCAGTTTTATGGGGGGTTTGAAAGTTAGGTACTCCAGCTTTAAGTATAATGTCAAAGCATGGAATGATAATTAACACTTGTTAGTCGTTTGTCCATCCAAGAAGCTGCTGCCAGAGAACACGTCCATTCCACAATCTCACACATGCCCTAGCTAAACATCAGTTGGTTCCAAATCAGAGTCACAATTATTTATTGATGACCTCACAACAAGTTGTAGAATTTGTTTATGATACAGCAAGAACTGTGATAAAGAAAGCTTTAGAAATTAACATTACATACAGTTCAAATTTAAAACACCTTGCTCAATTGAATTGGTGTCCTCATTCCAGGCCTAAAAAGTTACTTACACACATCCCTTGGGCTACGGTGACCTGTAAGTGACACTAAGAAAGATTTGACGAGACATGAACTAATTACAGCCGTGATCCAAGAATGTGTAGCTTGGAAGTCGTTGTCGAGTCAATGAATCCCAGATGAAACGCAACACACAATTTTGCTTCAGGGCAGAAAAGAGAATTACATTCAGTTCCCCAAAAGGTCTTTTTTTAAACACAGCTACGCGGCCATTTGGAGATTATTGAGGGTTGGTGTTTTGCTTGGAGATGTTGGATGTGTGGTGGTTTGGGTCAGTCAACAGATGCTGCAGGTGAGGTGTCTCCCTAAATACTGTGGACTCTATTTTCATTCTGCACACAGCGTGAAGCATCGACAGCACCGGGGCTCAGGCTCAGAACAAGGCCACTGCAGGAGACCTTGACAAACCACTGACTTTGACTGCGGTCTATAACTGGCATCCTGAGGAGAGGACAAGATGCACCAGACCCGGCTCCAAAATAGACATTTCTCATATTTTAACCTTTTGGGGGTCAAGTTTCACACAATAGACAGTTCAGTCGTTTCAGTCTAAAACCTCTATATTAAACTACCATACTTTGAATTGATACAGTATGTGTAGCATGACAAGGGTCGTGGGCTTACATTCGGTGCACTAACATAAAATAAACCAGCAGTGCCAGGGTTTTTAAAACCCAATATAAAAATAGAAACGCCCTACAGCACACAGGTAAGTTCGTATAAGAAGAGGCATGTTCCATGAGTGAGCATATTTTACATTTTTTTTCTCTCTTTAGTTTAAAGTGTCACAATGAAAATGATCAGTTAATGAGTCATACAATATCTAGTCCACAAGACACATGTGTCGTAGTTGTAGTAAAGAGAAAACTAAAGGCAGAAAGGTGAGATAGCAGCGGGGGTCACGTCCAGATCTTGCACCCTGCCTGAAAATCAAACATTAGAAAGGACAGGGACATATTCCTTCCAGGACAACGACTCGTGCTAACCTACCCTCTGGAACATCATCGCTGCGCACAGTCAGCAGGCCGTTGTGGACAACATTCTGGGTCCAGCCCACACCTGGACCCACAGCAAAAGTGCAGGCAGCTGAGCCAATCACATGGGAGGAAACGCGACCCATAAGAGCACACCCCTAGGTTACAAAAAGGCAATGCAATTAATACAAGGACATGAGATTCTTAGAAAGTCTGAAGGATGCTACCTGTACTGTCAGGACGGTGGACACCGGGATGCGGAAGTTTGCGGCCTTTTATAACAACATGTGCCTCCTGCTGGTGGCTACGCAGAGCCACACCAACACATGTCTTAGCTTTTACCTTGTGTGTTTTTTGCGATGAAGAATCTTGCCACAAAAGCTGAGATACAACAAATATTTTTCTTTAAAAAATATATATATATTTTTACCAACAGAAAGAGTCTTGGAAAAGTAAAACATAGGGATCAAATCCGACCATAACATGTAGCCTATGTACAACATTTTTTATTTCTTTTGATTCAAATGTAAAAACAACCCAACATAGAGAACATTCGTAACTTTTTTTGGTCATGAGGAGCAGAGGGTCCAATCTTGCAGGTAACCAATGAAGTGTCTGCTTTCTTCTAAGACACACTATATAAACTTTGAGTAAAGCCTCAGCGGGAGTCATCAATACTTGTAAATATTTAATCCAGTGCCTCTGACAATGCACGCCGCTGAAACAAATCTTCAGCAGATTGGATTCAGGATGAATAGCACAAAGACTTCACAAATCAGATTTCAACCTATCACTTTGTCAGCGGGGCCTTGTCTCCCTTTAACTATTTTTGTGTTTCTGAGTTGGTGCATAACCAGCTGGAAATCTGTGGGCAAATATTCAATTCAAGTTTGAGATTTGCAACAAGTTACAATGTGCAGGGTGACATGGCAGACCCAGGTTAGGCCTACCGCTTTTCATGAATAACATGATGTGGTGCATGTATAGCTAATAAACATATGTATAACACTAATTAAACTCAAAGCATAAATACATTAGAACCTGGATTATACATGTTTTTTTGTGTTTACTAAGACAGTGGGCAGACGCTTAATAGCGGAAAACAAAAGTCCTTTGAAAATTTTCCCATGAATGACCATCTGAATACGTTCACACTGATATATTAATCAATGTTATTTTCCTTAAAATATTTTTTTTCTTCTGAAAACCATCAGCCTTAACTTAAAAAAGAAACAGTATGCATTATTTGTTTCCATTACATGATAATTAGACTATTTACTTCTTATTGTCAATCCATGTTGTAGAATGTGAGTACATATGTAAAGCAGAACGTATATGAAAGATAAAAAAATCAAAGAAACAGCCAAGCAATTATAATATCTCTTCAATTGATAATTGAGAGATAATTGTGTATGATGTCATGGTGGTACAATGACATCATACTATTACAGGACTGAGAGTGGAAACAGTAGGGTCGGAGTTATACATTTGTGCCAGAAGTTCCTGATATTAATGGATTAAAAAAAAAAACAATAACAGGTCTGTTTTTGATGAGGGAACAATGTTGTATATGTTTAAAAGCTTAAAAGGGGTAATTGTGCATATTATCTCTCCTTTAAAATGAAACTGCAACTGACAAGTTTGCTTCTATCCAAAAAACTAAAATGCACCTTACCTGTAGTGAAAGACAATACAAACCAGGCTGATTTTTAAACTTTTATTCACTTAAATTCTCAAGTTTTAAAGCAAGAACAAAACATTTATAATGTCCTTTGGTGGGATTTTATTACACTTCATTTATACTGTATTATGTAAACTGATATTCTTTGATGCCAGCACTTTGTCAATCCAAAGGAAATTAACTGTACAACTCAAAAGATATTATCGAAAACAACAAATGGAAGAATTGTCACTGAAAATAAGGGGAAAAACATGTTTTGGTTGTGTAAGAGTGCCCTAGTCACAGCTATGGGCAAAGATACAAAAGGATACATAATGGTATAGTTCTTGCAGCTACAATGTAGATTCTCTAAGAAATTCTTATTTGATCAAACTGTTATTGGACCATGATTAGCTAATGAATGTAATTTGTCAAATGAAGTATTTTGAAGAAGAGAAATATAGGGATCTTATAATTGTGCATCATCGTCACTAACATCAGACAAAATACTCTTCCGACCAACAATAGGTTTTCACAAAAGCGCAGGGAGGTGGCAGCATGGCAGGACAGCAGGAGACGAGGAGCGGAAGAACAGAATATAGGAGAGTAGTGACGAAAGATGGAAATATATCGAAACAAGATGAGGGTTTTTCAAAATGGCAGTCCAGTACAGATTCCCTTCTATCCACAATGCACTGACAGCAAAGAATTCCCGTGTTTGAGTTGCTCCTCTTATCGCATTGCGTTTGGTTCCTGCGGTAGCTAAGAGAGTGGTGTTTACAACCGTTTGAAACCATCTCCGAGTTCCCGAGTCCGGCCAACAAACACCGCAGTGACGCGCGAGGAAAGAGGCGTCCCACAGGAGAGGAGCGCATCAGCGAGAAAAAAGAGGAGACGCTCGATGATTGGCCCGGATAGGAGTGCGGCTGTCTGTCATCTTGTGTTTGTCCCGTCTGGAAAAGGAGTACCTGTTATGGCTTTGTGGGGAGGGGGGATGCCTTTCTGTTGTCTGTTCCTTTACTCTTTTTTTTTTAAATAACATCTGGCATTTTTAAAGTTTTAATATTTTTTGTTTTGTTTTCATATATATTCTTTCAAGTTAAAGGAAACGTTGTTGTACTCTTGCACATTCCCAGAATCGCACATGTCCACAGTGCGACGCAAAGCTCATTCAAGTCCCAAAAAAGCTCATGATTGTTCTCTGTAAATGATTGATTATTGGGAGGAGGATGAGCGGGTGTAAGGTGTCTGCGTTTGTTACACCGGCCGACAGACGTCTCTCAACAGTGACGAGCCGGACAGCAGCAAGGGGATTAGAAGCAGGTGTTTGGAGCTGGGGCCGGTGGTTAGAGAGGCTTGTCCCGAGTTGGCCCCCTCGCAGCCCCCCAGCTCGTTCTCACAGCGAGCCTTCTCGCACAGGATCCCGGTGAAGGCCGCGGGACAGTTACAGCGGACGTTGTTGACACACACACCGCCGTTCTGACAGCGCAGCAGCTCGTTGTCACACACTCGGGCTGAGGGAGACACAGAAACACAAGTTAGACACACGTGTGGGATTCCAATGACCAAACGTTCAGAACAAAAACCTTTAAAGTTCATATGACAGGTTGGACCACTATGTTTATATCGGAATGGGTTCAAAATAAGATTTCAACTTGTTCACAAGGGTGGTTCTGGTTGACTTTAAATGGACCAATTCTGGTTCACATGGAAAAAAAAAACTATTTTTAGATGTTAACCCACCAAACAGGTGTCCGTGTCCACTCTAGTCACTTAAAACAGATTTGTGACACATTTTACCCCAAGACAATCAGACTTAGTCCATCACTTAGAGCCATCACTCGGTAGCAGGGACTAAAGCTTAACAATAAAACTAATTGTGAAGTTAACATGTAAATATCAAACAATAAATGTATTTTATCAGGAGAAGGAGAGGCTAGGAGTGGGGCTCAATGTCATTAGAAACCGGTGCTCTTCCGGTGCTCTCTCGCTCCCATCTTTGTGTGGAGTGAGAGACAAACGCCCAAAAATAACAATTGTAAAGCGCTTTGTGACTCTGGTCTGAGAAAGGCGCTAAATAAATAAAGATTACTTACTTACTTAAATACTTAGTTTAATTTCAGCCCTAAGACTAACTTTTTTGCCTCCGACTCATTTTCTCAAAAACAAGTGTATTTGACTGACGGTTAAACAGAATGTTGTTCACAGATACAAATGAGAACAAACCCGTCATATGCACTTAAACACAATACATCCATTCATCTGTGTTTGCACAGCAGATCATAATTTCAAGCTAATGTAATACAAGAATAGTCATAATAAACAAAATGCAAATACATTACAACCACAGCAGTATGTATATGTGAAGATTAAAACCAAGAACACAAAGTAAATAAAATTGTTTTTGTGAATCTAAAAATGAGTTGGATGGAGGTTGCATTGACCACAACAATGCTACATCAGAATGTGTGTTAAGTTTATTCATCATAGACATAAACAAGTCGATCACCAATGATCAACCATACATAATGACTTTCTGTGCTATTAAAGAAATGGAGTGTTACTGTTTACGGGATGAAGGTTTTTATTCACTGTGAAAAAAAATTGATCCAGTGGGTAGAACTTTTCCTTAGCCCTTGCCCGCATAGCCGCAGGACTAAAGTGACATATTTACAAAACCAACCCAGTTATAAGTGCTAATTGAGTTATATATTTTTTTCTCAATTTCCTAGAAAGCCATTTTATAAGAAAACACTACCTTATTACTTTGTCTGCACAAAAAAGCCCACCATCTGTGAGGCATTCCCTCAAAACAGCAGTGACTTTCCACAAGCTGAACGTCAGGTGAAAATTGGCGTATATATTTAGTGCGGGGGACGCCGAGGCCACACTTCTCCCAGTGGAGCAAAGCTGTCAAGCAAGCTGCAGGCAAACAAAGGCTGCAGCGTCCACAAGTTAATAAAGCAACACGCACGGATAAACAGTGATGAACAGAAGGGCTACCTCAAGTGCTTTATGGAGCCAAAGCTCCGCAGGACGCACTGGGATGCAAAAATCACAACCACAAATATAAGAACACTTTTCTAATAGAGCTTGGGGATGAAGGGGAGAAAGAATTCTTTAAGGGAAAGTAGCAATGCTTTTGTGAAAGTTACTGCCCAACAGGATGCAGTAACTGTTGTTGCGTAATAATGTCTGTCAGGAGGGGTGTGCATTGTCTCGAATTTGCCTATAACGTCTGTGCTAATGCATGGGTCTATGCCAACACTAAATTATAAGGATATTATGATTTGTTGTTTATATGACAAATGGCATAATACCAAATATACCCACACAATATGCTACTGTGTTGTGAAGTGTAAGGTCAGGACAACCACAACATTGCATTTAACATGTTTGCCAAAATGAAATGTGTTAAATGATAAAGATTCTAAAAAAAAAGGTGAAATATGGCAGCATATCCTGGAAAAGCTTATAGCTGAGCAGCTTTGCTGCCACCTACAGGAAAATAATATGTTTGAAGTCTTTCAATCAGGATTCAGAGCTCATCATAGCACTGAATCACAAATGACTTACTACTAGCTGCTGATAATGGACAAGTGTCAGTGCTGGTCCTACTGGACCTTAGTGCTGCATTTGACACAATAGACCACAGCATTCTACTGCAGAGGCTAGTATGTGACATAGGTCTTAGAGGAACAGCCCTTGGCTGGTTTAAATCCTATTTATCGGATCGGTATCACTTTGTCAACGTAAATCAGAACTCGTCGCCTTTTTCTGGAGTAGAATTCGGTGTGCCGCAGGGTTCGGTACTCGGACCGATTGTTTTCACTCTCTACATGCTGCCGTTAGGAAACATAATTAAAAAGCATGGAATTAGTTTCCACTGCTATGCAGATGACACACAGCTTTATCTGTCGATGAAGCCAAATCAGACAGATCAGCTAGAAAAGCTCAGTGCCTGCATAAAGGACCTTAAAACGTCGATGACTCTTAACTTCCTACTGCATAACCCAGGGGAAGACAGAAGTGATCCTACTCGGCCCGAAGCGCCTGCGTGACTCCCTTACTGACCAGAACAACTAAAACGGCATACTTCCACTTGCTGTCTCACCTCCTTTCAGATACGCTCTCTTTATTCAAGGCTCGGCTTAAAACAGTCCTCTTTAGTTTAGCATATGGCTAGGAAGGTAAGACTCAGGGAAGGCTAAACTCCTCAGCCTCCTCTATCAGTCAAGCTGCATAGGGAATCAGTTTGCTGGGAGAAGTATGGTAACTTGAGCACTATCCTCTCCTCCTTCCTACTTTACCTGTTTAGCATTACTAGGATTTTGACTGTAGTTTGTTCATTGCTATTCACCCGTTGTCCCATTGTCTGTTCCATGGTGCGATGATGGGACCTCTGGACCTTGCCTCCTCCATCTACACCTGCTGACTGCCCTGCCCGACCCGCATGGGAGTGCTTCAGTCCTGCACTGGACCTGTCCACGTTCAGCGGCCACTGGTCCACGTTCTGTAGCTAGCTTAGGTCCTGGATCATTAGCCTGTCCGTCCGGGGGAACGGATCCCTTTCTCTAGGTCTCCCCAAGGTTTCTCACTTTTCCCACTGAGTTTTTTTAATGAGTTTTTCCTTGCCGATGCAGGAGGGTCTTGTTGGACAGTTAGTGTCCAACAAAAAGGACACTTTAACATGTACTACAAAATGTATGGACATTTTTTCTTTGTGTGTGCTTTATATTTTGCACGTGTTTTAACTCTTGATACTCTGACCTGTGTTGGTGATTTCAATGGTTTTGTTAAGTCCTCTGAGATGACTTCTGTTGTGACTTAGGGCTATATAAGAATAAATTGTATTGTATTATGTATATTGCACAAAAATATTTTTCATACTCCTCGTAGTAGTAGTATAGTAGTTGTATTACTAGCAGCAGTAGCATGTTGCAGTAGCAGCTACAGTAGGCTCTGTACCTCCAGTAATGGTGGTGGAGGTAGTTGCCACAGTAGTAGTACTAGAATTAGTAAGGCCAATATGTTACTTCATTCCCCAGAAGTAGGCTAGTAAAAGGTATTTGTTAAAGCCCTGGAAAGTAGTTTAGTAGTAGTGATGGTAATAGCCGTAGTTAGAAGAATGAGTGAAGAAATTGCAGTACATGTAGATGCAAAAATAAGGGGAGATTATACTCACTCATTGAAAATGTTTTTAAAATCAAATGTGTTGATAGTGTCTCATGGACTGTGGAGTGTTGTGGCTGTAGAGTATCCAAAACAATGTATCTCTCTTGATTGAATCTATGGTGTAAGTGAATGTCAGGGCAGCAAATGCAATGGAATAAGCCTGTAAGCTGAGCCCCTTCTATCAAACCACTAAACAGAACAAATCACGAGCCCTGTGTCTTGTGCACGATAGTTGTTGGACACAGTCAAATACACGGCTGGGATTGGAGCCTCATTAAAAAACACTATTTGTGACGATCTGCTGCTGGTTTTGGCACTGTGCCTTTTGCTGGAGGCCACAGCTCAGCAATTACCAAAGCACAAACTGATCCATCTGAAGTGTGTCTGAGGCGTTTACCAATGACAATGTGTCTGACGATGAGCCCTGAGCAGGAGCAGGGATGAGTCCGTAAGACTTTAAGTTTTCATAATTTGTTTCTTTAGTGGCATGTAGAGGGTGTGGTCTATGGGGCAAGTTGTAGTAATTCGTTCACTGCCTTAATTAAGCTTTCAGGAGTATTGTGTTAAAGCTGGGATACGTAACTTTTTGTTTCATGAATAATACAATTTGCTTGAAAAAAACAAAAACAGAAAGACAAAAAAATTTGAGCACACCACTTTTGTTTTTTTTATATTTGATGCTTTGGGATAAAAGTTAAAAGGCTGAGTGAAGGTGGTCCTCTTGTTTTCACTTATCTGTCTGAAAAATCTAAAGACATACAATCTAAAGATGGCTTTAAATACATGAGTGTGAAAATCAAACCCAATAGTTTTTCACATTAATGCACTGAGCCAAGAGCTATGGATTTGATTACATTGTTCAAATATTTGTGATTAGAAATTTAGCGACCCCAGAACTAGGATTAGAACAAGCATTGTCATAAACTGTTTATGAGTTTGACACATAATAAATGCATAATGTTTAGTGGAAAATAAATACTACATTGTGATAGTTCATTCCAGGCTCCTTTGACCTTGTTTATGGATCACAGCATGCAGGGATTTAAAATAATCATTCTATTTGCATTTTTATGGTTGAGTTAACTGCAAATTATGAGTAATAGTTAGTACAAATATCAGCAATAATATAGGAGGGATATTATAGAAGCAGTATTTAATAACAGTAAGATGGATAAGACCATCACAGAAATGTATTCAGATGAAATATTGCTCAGCAGTGAGGAGCTGGACAGGTGCAGGTGAGGCGGCTCGGCCTGTCAGAGCCAGACACGGGTCAAGTCCCAGGGCTCAGGGGCATGTTCTGCCTTTATGCACCTTCAAAATACTCACACAGTTTTCC